GTAAAAAAAAAAAAAAAAATCTTCATTGATTAATTTTGTAAACCTGATACCATAATGAAAATGATAGTTTGGATATAAGTAGGTTAAATCAAAATATGTCATTAAATTGATTTCACCTGTACTTTTATCATTGTTAAATGTGACTACTGGAAAGTTCAACATCACCGACATGGCTTGCACATATGGCTCATTCCGTATTTTCATTGGACAGGGATGGGGTCGAAGACCAGACTATTCCGTGTGGTTCAGTTTGGTGATGACCAGGCTGGTGCTCTGGCCAAGGGCCTGGAATGCCTCTACTTTGCTTTTCCAGCTTTTCTCCGGCCTGTTATCTCCCAGACTTGTGTGCTCTTGTTTTACAAATGAGACAATTCCCCCAAAAGACATCAAGGGAATTGTCCAAGTCTTCCAGGGGCCTCACACATCCAGTGGCCATGAGATTTCAGGGGCACTGAGCACAGGGGCTGCCAGGTGCCAAGCCCTGGGAGGGCACGGAAGTGAGGAGGGAGTACTCTCCCCTAAACGGGCTAAACCAAAGAGGGCTGAGCGGTTCAAGAGATTTTCTAATCCCAGCTTCTGATGACAAGAAATGTATGAGGCTCCTATAAATAAACTGTATTACAAAACCGCCAGGAAGTGAACCAGCTGGTTGGGGCCTTCTGTTCATTACTTATGACTACGGGGAATTCCCAAATAATTCATTTGGGGGAACAGCAGCACTTTGTTCTTTCTGAGAGAACCTGCTGAGAACTCACTGAAAATAAACAATGCTTTATGGCAGGGGTCCTCAAACTTTTTAAACAGGGGGCCAGTTCACTGTCCCTCAGACCATTGGAGGGCCGGACTATAGTTTAAAAAAAAACTATGAACAAATTCCTATGCACACTGCACATATCTTATTTTGAAGTAAAAAAACAAAACGGGAACAAATACAATATTTGTATTTGCATGTGGCCCGCGGGCCATAGTTTGAGGACCCCTGCTTTATGGTAATGGGTTGGAGATTGTCCAACAGCCCTTGACCTAAGTCCCAGGGTCCCAACCCAAACAGCAGACGCTGCTCCTGTCTTACCCAATTGGAACGATGGCCAGGAAGGAGAGAAAGGAGGAGAGAGCAAAGCAGGTACCGACAAACTTTTCCATGGTGAGCTGATAGATCTCATTATACATCGTGGATGTCACCACCCAGGTCAGAGTCAGGAACAGCTGCAGGATGACAAACACCTTTCCTGTGGAAGGAACAGAGGTTACTAAGAAGATAGGCTGCTCCTCGTCCCTGTTCCCAGCTGGCTGGGTCTCTGGGAGCTCTCAGGAGACCCCACTTGCCAGGATTCCCCCTCAGTCTTCATGGCTCATCTCACCAGGACTCCTGCCTCCCTCCAGTGGATCTACCTGTGGCCTGTGGATAGTAGTGTCTTCCTTTGACTGTGGCTCTCCAGTGACTTACTTTCTGAGTCTGCCCCGCCCTCCTGTTTTCACTCCCTCTGCCCTGGATGGACATCAGTGTGATCCTGGAGTATTTGAGATGGCTCCTGGAGCTGTCTTTGTCCGTTTTCTGCAAGTCCGAACCCTGTGCCTCAAGACAAAGAGCTCTGAAACAGCCTGGTCGGCGAATCTCAGAGAGATTCATGTTACTCACCATATGAGGAGTCCTTGATGAGTTTGGACATTGCTGATCGAATGGTTGTGATGGGGATGAGAGCAAACAGCATGACGGCTCGAGCTGGAAAGAAATCATCCAAGAACACGTCTCACTGTAGCCCAACCTTGGCCAAGGTGTAAATTAGAATAAAGCAAGAGTCTCACTTAGAATTCCCTCTCCCCATAGCTCCTATGTGGCTTGCTCTGGAAGACTCATGCCCTCTGGGTAACTAGTTTAAGTTGTTCTTTCTAATATGTTAGCCACTAGCCATGTGTGGCTATTTAAATAGATTAAAATGAAATAAAATTGTAAATGATGTTCTTTACTTGCACTAGCCACATTTCAAGTGCTCAATAGCCCCATGTGGCTTGTGGCTGCTATCTTGGACAAAACAGATGGTATAGAGCAGTGATGGCGAACCTATGACACCACCTCTGACACGCGAACTCATTTTCTTGGTTGATTTTTCTTTGTTAAATGGCATTTAAATATATAAAATAAATGTCAAAAATATAAGTCTTTGTTTTACTATGGTTGCAAATATAAAAAAATTTCTATATGTGACAGGGCACCAGAGTTAAGTGAGGGTTTTTCAAAATGCTGACACGCCCAGCTCAAAAGGTTCGCCATCACTGGTATAGAGCATTTTTATCATTGGAGAAAGCTCTACTGGAGCCTTGGTCTGGAGCTGTCTGCTTGTGGTTGTTGGAGCTGTGTCCTCTCGTGGAAACTTCATTCTGCTTCCTTGAAGGAAATTATTACATTGGGTGTAGAAAGCATTTACAGAGAATTTTTTAAATCCATTTTTAGAAAGCTCTTGCTTGGCCCGAAATGATTTTAATTAAGGGATCTTTTCAGGTGAATTGTTCAATGTTTTATCTCTTTAAAACTGGGGAGAAGAAACCCAACCCCATCTCCTCCAACCAAAGCCATTCGAGGCACGCCTGACCATTCCTCCCATGACCTCCTGGAGCCATGGACACCACTCTGGTAACATTTCAATGGGCAATACAGATAACACAATACCCAATACAACACAGATAAACTCAAGTGCATGTAATCCTGTCTCCCTTGAACATCCTAGGTCAGTGATGGCGAACCTTTTGATCTCGGCGTGTCAGCATTTTGAAAAACCCTAACTTAACTCTGGTGCCATGTCACATAGAGAAATTTTTTGATATTTGCAACCATAGTAAAACACTTATATTTTTGATATTTATTTTATATATTTAAATGCCATTTAACAAAGAAAAATCAACCAAAAAAATGAGTTCGTGTGTCACCTCTGACACGCATGTCATAGGTTCGCCATCACTGTCCTAGGTAGCTGATATAATCCCTGGTGCTGAGCTGGGACACCTAGCGCACAGCATCCCTGGTGTCAGCCCCATGACTCAGGGGAGCAGCAGTATCTTTGTCCTACCTCTCCAAGAAGGTCAGACTCACCAATGTAGAACATGTACGTCTCCTTCACAAAACACAGTAGGAAGGCTCCTGATCCAAAGGAGACCATGCCAATCATGATCATGGTGGTGTCCCGGAAGCAGCGGGAGAAGACCAGCACGCCCAGGAAACTGGTGATGAAGATGATGTACCCTGCGGCCATTCCATAGCCCCACCTGCACCTGGTTTCCAACTGAGAGGCGCCCTTAGCACAAACAGGGGCATCACGTTCCACTGTGCCCACCACCGCCAGGTCATAGATAATGGCGTCGAAAACGAGACACATGGTTTGTGGGAGATTTACGTTCCCCAGAAAAGGGTCGCCCACCACACTCTGGGTTTGGCTGATCAAGTACCAGAGCGATATGGACAAGGGGGCCCAAACACCGTGCCACGGGGGGAGGGGCTCTTTGAGTTTGTAGGCCCCCCCCGGGGCCTTTTGGGCCCAAAAGGTTCTATATACGAGCAAAAAAAACAACCTTCTCTTTAAAACCCTCTCCCTCCGCGCTCGCGGGGTTTTTTAACATGGTTTGGGAAAAAAATCCGGGAGGAGAAAATCCCCCAAAAAACCCTCCTGAC